TCAGAGCGGCGGGAATCAGATTCGTCGTCCTTACGTCGGGCCCCTACCGACTTAACGTCACCGCCAACAACGTCTGCAGTGATCCCAACAGCACCTGCGTTGGCGACATCAACAGTGGCAACAAGTTGTCTTCTCAGACGAATCAAGGTTCAACCCTTCTCATACCGATGGCCGCATCAGAGTGTGGAGACGACGTAATGAGCGTTACGCCAACTGCTGTGTCTTACAGGCCAACCGCTGGGGAGGAGGAAGCATCATGGTGTCGGGCGGCTTCAGTTATCATCACAGAACCCCTCTACACGTGTTCCGTCAGCGTGTGCTCTCGTCACAAGGGGAAATTCCAATATATCCCAAATATACAATTTTGTATATTTGATATATCCAAAAAGATACAAGTTGGTATATCCAAAAAATTTACAATTTTGTATGTATGGATAGATTTCAGTTTCTTTTTACTTTAGTGAGGGATTCTTACAGTTTGTGGTTGATTTTGAAAATATCACTAAGGGTTATGTACCGGACAGTAGTATTGTGTATGTGACAATAATATTTCAATACTATTTTCATTATGACAACTACATTTGAAGGATTATGAAATAAATTGTATTTATTTATGTTGATAGCATTTTACATAATAAAGAAATAGAAAATTTGAGCAGACTTTAGTAACAGTTAGATCCATAATATTATATAAAATACGTAGGCCAGCATTTTACAAATAAGAAGATCTATACATACAATTAGTTCAGAGTAGTTTTGAACAATGACGATAAAAAAAATATAATAACATGAATACCGGCTTTTTACAAATATGAACATATACAAGCTATAATTTTAAACGAATTAAGCAATTTATAATGTACAATTAAACAGAGCTATTTTATAAAAACCATCACATATCTGTCCCTTGGCAACGCAAACATCACATCTTTCTTTTTACATTTTACGAGTATCTTGATGAATTTACACTTGACACGTTGAATTGGCATGAACGATGCGGGACTATTGTCAATATACATTGTCGGATGCCAGGCTTTGACTGGTGTACCACAGTGGTACTTCAATTCATCTGGAAGTTCCCGGTACCACCTCACTTCAGCAAGGAGATGGAGATATACTCCAGTCAATGTCGCCATCATTGTTTGACCAATACGCTAATATATTGGACGAAGAGGTTGATGCTAGACTAACATTTAGTCTCTGAAATCTTATATTACACAATATCCTTCTTGACTCTAAAAATTAAAAAAATTCCCTATGCTGATTTCTGTGGAATAGAGTTAGCTTGAGCTGGCTAGACTAATTTTGTATGCATTTCTAGATTATTATCTTTTCATAATATAAATATATTCCACGGTCATGGTGCAGGACTAGGTTGATGCCTGTGCTGAACCAAACAGTGTGTGTCCTGGATGGATAGTTTTCAACTCTTTGTAACATGGTATCATGGACATTTGAGAAGAATTGTACAGTTTTAAATACATTTGTTTAAGATAAATGTCTTCTTCAATAGTGACACCACGCAGTTTGTATTTAGTGAAGGAATAAACTTGAATGTCAGACCAACACGGTCCAAAATCCAAAAGACGTGAGGTTGGTAATAGCGTTGTTGGTTGTGCCGAGCTTTCCAGCCTTTGCACCAGAAACAAGTTCAGTATATAGTATATGGTTGGGGTGTTTCAGCAAGCTGGAAATGTGGTTCTCGTGTGTCCTAGCTTGCCACTCTTCCCTATCAAAACCACTGTAATTACGTTTTCCGAGATCACCAGGAAATGTGCGGAATAACGCCGACCAGAATAACGTTTTCACGTTTGAACCGTTCTTCGCGTGGCATGTTTAAAACAACCATTTATACTACACCAACGGAATATTTAACATGTTTAAACGGTTGAAACCAGTCAATGTTCAGCATTAGGCCATAATTATGTCTTGTGGCGAGGAAATTATCACTAAATTTCTTCCAAATCTGACCATCATAGACATCAGACAAAGTGCCAGATGACCAACTTCGTCTGCCCAAGTGCAAAACCCAATCTTAAAATGAAAGGAACTTATATTAATGAATTTGGGAACAATATTTTAGTCAGATTGTTTATGGCATTCTGATATTGACGATATAGTTAAAAGGGTAAGCCCTATGTATAATTGCCTTGGAAGATATAAATCCCTTTCTCGTGTCCTACGTCGTGAACCATACTCACTCATTTAAATACATCCTTTCACATAAATCGGTAGAAGTTATGTACAAGCATATATCGCCAATGTTTGATTATTGCTCCCATATTTGGGATAATTGTACCAGAACAAGAATCAATCCTAGAAATTACACTCATTACGGACTAAGTGTCCGGCTACAAGCCATGAAAAACCTTTTAGCGAAAATATGATTAACACTATTTCACAAGATAGTAAATCGGATAACACCTGGTTATCTTTCTAGCCTTATTCCACACAAAATCTCTGCTGTTATCACAGCTAACGGAGGCCACACACGCTATTCATGGACTTGTCACTTTTGCGTCTGGGACTACCCTGTTTTCCGGAGAGTTTTCAATACACACGGATGGTTGTCATCAAACAGCCAACGCCCATTTGTATCTAATGTTTTTTCTGTTATCATTTCTTAATATTATTTACATATCTTTTCTGCTCTTAACGTTATCCGCATTGTATGTACAATATATATTTTATTAATTCAAATGTACTCTGGGCCATAAGGCCGAAATAGTGTATAAACATGTACATGTATGTAGAAAAAAAGTGGTTACCTGGTCAATATGTAAAAAAGCTTCCGGGGAGAATCATTATCATTGTTTTCGAGGCATTTTGTCTGTGCAACAAATCAATGTTACTTCGATTCAAGCATCGATCTACTACCAATATAAATATAAATTTGGTGACCTCGCACTCGCTAAGAAAAGCAGTATAACAAAACAAATGTCTAACCCAATTTGAACACGTGACGTAAAATGTGCACGCATGCGTAAGTGCTGTTCATAATTCAAGCCCGTTTGACATGCACAGTATGTTATCTCGTGTGCCTTTGCATGCATGCTAATTATGCCCGTGCAACTTGACTTTCAGATCGCATATGTAGCCAGACGCAGAATAAGTATTTTATCAAACATTCAACTAAATTGCTACTATTTTTACAATGCAAGCTTGAATGAATGTGTATTAATCTTAACTACATTGTGCGTTACCCCAAAGAGACCGGCGCTTCCGCGGCCTAATTTGAAAGGGGGTTCCCCTTGACGTCACACTTTCTTCTGTCACGTGGGCAGTCAACACGTTTGAAAGAAAGGAGACGCGCCAGAGCCAGCCATTGAAGAATAAGCACCAATTTGCGACCTGATATTCTGAAGTGTCCATCAATGTCACAAAGGATTATCTTGCAGTATAAATTCATATCTTCAGGCACTGTTTACTCTTTGGAGACACTAAGAGTTTTGTCGGCAAAGATTTCTAAAGAGACAGTATTATAAACACTATTTGACATCTACAGCTACGCGGGTGTTAAATCATTTCATTAACTATAATATATACAGAAAGGTAGGAACTATTGTGCGATTTTAAAGAACGCTTGTTTGAATATTGTCAAAATCCATATGAATTTGTGCTATTCGCTTTTTAACACCGGCTTAGGTAAAAGTTAATGAGTCACACCGGCAATATTTCGGCCATGTCGTGACGAGAACAAGTTCTACCGGAAAAATAAATACATTCAGAGCATATATCAACCTGTCAACAAAGGACAATAAAACAACGATAGTATCACAGATATATATTACAACAAGCATATAACCATACAACGTTATGACTATACATAACAATACAATACAACACATGGGCTAGAGGTCCAGCAACCAAGTTAGGCCACCACACTAGGGACCATTGGGACCTCTACCTGCACGGTACCCCAGCAGGATTTACACTATCCCTTTAGTCACTGGTGAATATGGACAAGGTTTAGCCAGAGATTAAAACAAACAAATATTCTTCGATTAAAACACTGGCAGACATATAAAAATACTTTGAACGATGTGGGCTTACATACCCTCTCAGGGGTACAATAGTTTTACACTACTTCAAACCCCCATCAAGGGCACAGCCACAAACATTCTCAGTTAATCATCACATACTACCAATTTATAAATACATAACTTTCTACATCAAAATGTATCATTTAATTCAATTTCTTTTATAAAAAAACAATAATTAAAAGAACACTTATCTGATTAAAAGGATCATTTATGGATGAAACTTTGAAACATTTATCCCTTGTGATGGAAAAATCTAAGTCAAGTAGGACATGCTTTATCGTGATTCTTTCATTACAAGGGATACAAAATGGGGGATCGTCACCTTTCAGTAAATATTCAAGAGTATATCTACAGTGGCCAATACGACATCGTCTCAGAATGACCTCTTCAAATCTGGACTGACAACCCAAGTAGGTGTAACCGATATTTGATTCATACCTACATAGGTGTCCTTGTTTTGGTACAAACAAATAGTTAGCTCTAATGTCTTTTTCTACACAACAGTCCACTTATGGCATACAGTGTAACTTGTTGCCGCTTTTTTCCCACACATGAAATTGTCTTTCCCTTTCAAATTGTATATGTTTAATTGGGAATAGTAATGGTAAATAGAATTTGAATTTGAAATATTAATTTGTTTAAATTTTGGTTCCTAAAAAAATACTTTTGTTGCATTATTGCGCTGAACGATGTCACTTATTTACGGCAATTGTCTACATATTATTATATTAATGATAAAATAAGCAGGTTGTGAAAATAATTGTTGACTTGTTTATTTACGCAAAGTGTTCAAATGTTTTTCATGTTTTTACCTCCATAAATGCAAAATATCTAAATTTAAGCAAAATCATAAATATCCTGTATGAAACGGCAGCTGTAGAAATCGTAAACGACTGTCGCCTGGACGTAAACACACTTCCGTTATTTTGTAAACCTGTTTACCTGCGTATCTGAGTGGTGGGGGCGTGCGGCACGGACCGCAGCCAGGTCAGGTGACAGTTTTCTCAGCAAGCAGCGGTGCTCACTGGCGTGTGTCCCAACCTGTCTGTATCACTGCCTGCTCCACACAAGCTCCGTCACTATCAGCCAGCCAGCCAGCCAGCCAGTCTCGTCTCGTCGCGCCTCACGACCAAACATCTGAACCTCCTGTCCCACAAACTCCGACATGGCAACCAAGGAAGACTTGCAGAGGTATGAAGCCTTCTTTGAAGCCGCTGATACTGACAAGAGCGGTTGTCTCTCCATCCAAGAGCTGAAGAATTGTCTTGCAGGCTCCGGATTCGACGATCAGACCATCATAGTATGTAAAACATGTTTTTTTATTAGTTCGTGATAACATCAAAGTCACAACTCCGAAAGCATACCGGCTACAGTTAATGTTAGCACGCGAACGTATGCTACCTGTACGTTTGATGATTAATTATCAAACCACTGGTATACAAGTGGCAACCGTTGCATGTCCTTCGCAGCGTGAAACGCAGTTACCCGTGACATGTTTGCGTCTTGACATTCACAGGACAAGCATGGCCCCGTCATGTTTAAAAGTTTAGTCTTTAGTAATTTTGTCATCTACACTGACTGTACCGTCTGTAATCTCGATGCATTTGTATTTATAGTAGAAACCCTGGGGTTTATTGACCGTGATAACGCGATATGTCCCGTTGACCCAGGCTCTTGTGAAATAGTGTTTGCTGTTGACTGCACAGCGCGCCTGGGGCCGGGAGACAAGCTTTGAATGGAGGCGCGGGGTCGTGTTTCTATATTCAAAATACTTGATCATAATACACCCGTGTTTATAACTGTAAGTTAGTTTTAGAAAGGAGATATGGACAATGTTGCTTTACATACTAGCCAGACTTGTGTACACACCATTCCACTCTGTGCTGTGTCAAGACATTCCACGGTAGCTTAATCATGTTAATACAGTTTCAGTGCTAATGAGGTCAAAAAGAACTTTTCCGCGTCGGGCTTCCTTCTCTTTCAATTGCTCCACAACATTGGAATGAAAGCGTTTTGTAAAGCACAACCAAACTGTTAAGCAACATTTGACTTTGAAGTTATGAATTTTGAAGTCTACGGGGTCTCTCTTGAGTCTAGTTAATCACTAACATACTTTAAATCTTCAAAGAAAAGAGACCTAGAGAGATGTGAGTCATCGATCTTGTGATCGTTTTTATGTGTATAGTATAAAGAAATGCAATGGATTTTTAGATGTTATAATAATAAGTCATTGCTAGTTTTTTTCCTATATATACAATATTACACATGTATGTCTTGATAGAAAATCATCTATAATTAACATATCGCGCACATGTAGCTATACAGGATGAAACTTGTGCAATAGCTGTAGCGAAAATGTAACTCAGTTCGAATATTTCTGAATCGGAATGAAGTCAGCTGCAGCCGAATTTTAAATTGTCACATTTAATGTCGTGTTAATATCGACGTAACTTGATAAACAGCTTTGATAGCCTTTGAATATGTCAAACGCCATGTGAATCTATGAGTCAGTAAATATTAATGAGCTGTTGGTCCGCAGTCGTTGGCATATCAAAAGTTTGTATCAGAATAGTATATCATAGAGGAGCGTTCTCACTGCTGTGTGTTGAATACGCATAGCCCATATAGGGACGAACCCTCAGAGGCATTTAAAGGGATACGGAGCTGAGGCCAATTGGCAGCCCCAGCTAGTTTGTAAACGATGGACTCCATTGATTTGCCTGAGAACGGAAATTGTATTGTGTATATCAATCTGTCTGATGTTCTCAAGTTCTACGAACAAATAACCCGTGAACATCCGGGTTAAAATGGGTCTTCAGCAACACATGCTTGTCCTAAGAGGCGACTTATTTACAGACCGACGTCATACAGCTGGAATATTGCTAAAGAGTGCGGCGTTAAACAACAAACAACAAGCAAAATAATCGTTCACTGGACATGTTGGATGCTCTGAAACAATGATCTTTAGTTCCAAGAGGAAACAAAATATTCTATATGAAAGACCACCACCACCACCCACCTAACCTAACCCCACCCCCAGAATTAAATGGGCTGTCCCTTATTACATAGACACTGTCCCAGTTTACTCTAGACTGTAATCCTTTGATGGAATGTTGCTGTTGGAAGTTTGCCAGTCACCGCTCCGGGCTCTGTTTTTGAAAGCATCATGGTGTGCTGAGATATCTCGGCGATAGCCTATCAAGTATATTTTCCTAGGAGGCCTGAGGAATTTTAAGTTATATTTTATGTCATAGGTCAAGGTTATTTTCAAGGTCAAATGATGGTCGTAAGCACATTTATGTAGTTCGGAACGGAAGAAGTGTTCACTGACCCGCGTTCAAGTTCAAGGTCGCTGTGAAGGTTACTCTTATTGCAAGTGGGCAAATGAATCCACTGTTCCCTGCAGTCTTACGTATGCAGAGAATCTTTGATTTGACACAGCCGGTATATTTTATGAAATGACAAGAAATAAAAACATGTCAAAGTTGTAATAGGCCACTGTGCGACCTTCAGTAGCGGGAAAATACCAGCAAATGTAGGTCACTTTAACCTACTTTCAATAAGTAGCATATTCCACCAAATCACTGAAGCGTGAGATACGAACGGATTTTCATAATCAATAAATGAATCGTTTATATCCCAACTATTCTGTTAGCCCATGTCGGATGGAACTGTCAAGATGTTGATGTTTTACGCCGCAGTCGGCAGTATTCCTTATGTCAAGGCGACCTGTTAATTGTCCTGATCTGGGCCACACAAGCCAGGACCTATATTAGGGTAGATGCCACTCAGTCAACCAAGCCACCGAGAATTATCTCCGATTAGTTCGCCGCCTCTTACGACAAGCCTAGATTGCTTTTTTTTTAGCACAGAGTCTCCACGGTGATGTGGAAACAAGAAACTGATTCGGAAAATACTGTAAGGAAATGCATATGAAAAATTAATGTTAATTCTTTTTCGGCATGTAGGACGTTCTGGTTTAACTTCACAGCATGTGCAGTCAAGACAGGAAATAGATCCTCAGGGCAATTAGATATAACCATAAGCTTGGAGGTTGAGGCAGGGGGGCGTCTGGTTTCATTACGTGCTCCAAACCGGAAGTCATGTCATTACACCGATATGGCATATCGCTTTCTTGGAACCGTAGTTAAAAGTCAAACTGCAGAAGTGTGTGTTTTTCGTGCGTTAATTTCGGGTAATACTTTATCATGAAGTATGTGATGTGAACCAGTTTACGTATTTGCTCAAAAGGGCAACGTCAGCTTATATAGTAACGCTCTGATGATCATCGGCCTCCTAACTACGTGCGATTTTTAGCGGGAACAGGATGAGGAAGCAGAGCATCATTGCATACACAAATTGGCATGTCAAATGTCTTTAAACATTTAAAAAGAATAACAAATGTAAGTATCGTCCCAGAGACCGAAGATTGTTGAAGTTATGAAACTGAGAGGAACTAACAATTTACTCGGTGTAGTTGGAGCAACGGTTGACCAATATGCCGTGCAGGGTTCGGTCCCTTGGGCGCTTCGGAATTCTTTGATCGTGGTAGGGTATTGGTACTTTTCAGATGTAGTATTGTTCCTCTAAGAGTTGAAGCTTGGGGGACATGATAGCTGCCCTTTTCCTGAGATCAAATGTTTTTATTGTAAAAAATGTATTGAGGATGAATATCATGCTTTTCTACACTGCCCTTTACACTCTGGAAAATGAAATGCATTCAAGTTTCATCATGTGTCTTTTAATGATGAGAAATAAAGATTATTTTGTCACGTGTGACATTTGTATCTGCCAAACATTTTAAAACAAGGCCATGTCAATGTGTATATACGTGCCAAATATTCACTTAACTGTAACAGTTTCTGTATTCTAATCTAAGTTAATTTTAGTTTCACTGTATTTTATGAGTGTCTTCTAGGTCCGTATGGAACAGCTCAATATTTTAATGCGTTTTATCTTTCATATATTAGCATCATATTTGGAGGTTAGACCTGCCAGCCTGTCTGTCTGGATTCAAATCCCAGATTCGACCTGTGCATTAATGCTAGCCCAGTCAGCACCATATCCAATTTCACTAAAGTCTAAAATCATACGTTTAACCAAACTCACTCACTTTGTAATTGGACTAATTAATAACTGTACATATATTAAATATAATCCTGAAGTGGTGTCTGAGAGACTGGACTCTCACTTGAAAGAATCCACATGAACTCCGTATAGTCAGAGGGTCATGAGATCGCCGCCTCGGGGTCTATTTCAGGTCCATGAATCATCAGTATGTTCTTCTGGATCAAAATCGCAGCAATTACACACTACTAAATGTCAGCCAACCATCACATCTGGTGACAGTCTAACACTCATGACCTTACAGATACCCAGTACTCCACGCTCCGGTGCCCGGGATGTACTAAATATACAATAAATATCGGCGCATTGTATTTTCGCTTTCGAACATCCTCGATTGTGTTCGTCTTTGAGATACGGAAATATGATATGATTTTCTGAATGCTTGGCTCACTCGACGCTGATTGGTTGAATGGAGAATTCACCTGACGCGACCTCAGATCTTCACGCAGAGGTGGGGTAAAATGAGGTTTAACGTTGCGTTGAAGATGAATGCACTTCTATAGCGACATGCATGCATCGAGATACCATGCCACAGTTTTAACATGGATACCCCACTCACACAGTATAACGACTCAGAGCCAACCAGTCCTTGTTTTGGCCCCATAATGCCGAGCGCCAGGCAGGTTAACAACAAGTACCATCTTTAAACGTCTTTTGGTAAGACGCGTCCGGGGATCGATCACCGGACCTTCCGCTCTCAGGGCGGACGCTCTACCACCAGACCACGGAGGAGGGGAGTTAAGGGGAAGGTGTATATCTTATAGCTTGACAGAAAATGAAGCTAGCCAGTCAGGCTACCCAGATATCATTTTCACGAGCTAAAAAGAAAAGAAAGTAGCCACGGGCTATCGGGCAGGTGCCTATTTCACACGATGCAATCATCCAAGTCACAGAGCCTGACCACCAAATCCATTTAGTCGTCTCGCGACCAGCAGAGGTTGCGCCGGGATCTATTCTCGCCCGAGCCAAGCCCCTCTTTAATTTGGTGAGGGGGTGGAGCGAATGGGAAGGAAATAGTGTTCAACGATGAGGAGCCCGTGTCCAGTCTAGATCTAGGTTGTGTAGTTATCGCCAGGTATGAAATTAAGACAGTATTTCGATGTCTGTGTGTATAGTAGTATTTTAAAAGTAGTCGTTGAAGAACTTGGATCAAACCTGCTGGGACAGACAGTTGGCCATAGCGAAGTCCGCCTTTAATAACAAGTACACGAAGAGACACCCTGTCGACACCTCAACTCAAGATGTGTTTGAGTGTTCTACAAATTCACTTCCGTTATCTTGTGTTGCTGGTAATGAGAGGGCGTATCGAGATGGAATGCCTAGCATGAGTTCCCGTGTCTTGACAAAGAGTCGGGCGTCAAGATTTCACAATACCGACTCAATAACTGATTTAGGAGAAGCCCGCTCATATTGCGCTGTAACATGGTGAGGGAAATGCTATGTTATTGATATGTACCTTGCCCGATAGTAGCGTTCGTGCACTCCTTAATCCCCATAGGAGTGTACGTCGTGGTGTGGCTCTAAGCTACTTCCAACTATTGGGCAAGGTAGCATCATATCTATTTACGAGTCATGTCTAATGTACAGCTTTTCCCCAGCGTTGCTTCAAGTCCATTTATGAGGTCATCGAGGGTCACCTGTATGCTCGATCGTGGTTTAAGTGGATGCAATCTCAGAAACTATTTATTAATCTCCACTTAAGTCTGGGCGTGTTAGAAACCCAACAGCGTATACATGCTCATTCTGAATTATCCATCGCATTATATATCAACTCTATTTTGACAAGTAGCTGGACCCAATCAGCACATAGCTTCGTTTCGGAAGTAACAATAAAATAACGTTCAAAATTGAGATTTGAGTATTGTAAGTGTTAACCTTCTAGCGCCTTGCAAGGCAGCTTGCGTTGTATACTCCCCAGGGAGCTGAGAATGAAGATCGAGTGCACACTGATCCATTGACCAGGGCAATAATGTTAACGCTTTGAGCATGCACGCTGTGTATTGAGTCTAGCAGAATGTAAGTACACACCCATTATTAGTACTAGAACTAGTATTAGTATTATTAACAAGGGACTCGTGCAGTGGGGATACAACAGCATATTCTGACTTGGGAAGCTATGTTGCAAGTAGTGTCATTGGAACGCGACTCTAAACGAAGTATGGTGGAATGGATCCAGGGCATACATAAGAAAACAGAGGACCTGTAATACATGTGCTGTATAATCGCGGGTGATGAATTATATAGCGTTATAAACATCTGTGGCAGTGAATCATGCACAGCCATCATGCACAGCAGCTGCGGGAGCTGATTGAGCCCAGACAATAGATTATATGTGCAGGCACAGATTGTGTCAATAAGTCGTAGATTCAGCAAAAATTACCTGTGGTAGCGGGGTGTTCGGCGGTAGGTGTCGTGAACACCACGAGGCCGAATTTCGAGGGTGGACACGAACGTTAATTATATATAAAATCCCGTGCGACCCATTGTTGACTTTGGAACGATTTTGAAAACAATAATTTGATCAAAAAACATACTGCAAAAAAGTATTTTACCTCAGTTTTTACAAAAAAAAGCACTGATTATACTTGATGCCCTGAAAAAACTTACGTTTTGAACAGAATATTTGTTGTGTTAATACATTATATGTTTCTGTTATGAATACATTAATACGATCACATTTACTTTGCGTACGTTTATAAGATTGATGTTTGTGTTTGCTTAGACTGACATTTCGTACTTTTTTAATTTATGTATATGCTTCGTCATTTCTGTTTCAGTTATGAATAAATTTATTTGGACACATTTACTTTGAATGTTTAAAAAACGTCTCCCGACACTCGGTTGTGTTTACATTGTCAGTCATTGTTCGAAACTGAAACACCGCCACCTTGCGGGCTATTTATAGTCAGGGTGGGGCTTTAAGGTTTGTTTGATGTTTGTGTTTATCATTCGTCATTTGTGTTTCAGGACATGTTCGTGGAGTTCGATAAAGACGGTGACCGTAAAGTGACAAAGAAAGAATATATGACAGCGCTGGGAAAACTGCCCCCGTCCCGACTCGAGTAAGCAAATATCTAAAACTGTGAGGTCATTGCTGGAAGTTGTTTATAAGTGTCATGACACGTAATCCAAATATCTCATACTGAAAAAACCCATTCTATCTGTGGATTCCCTTGGCAGTGACCTTGACATATCTCATGTGGGGATTCCAGGGCGAAATAGGTCCCCGGTATCACAAGCTTGTCGTAAGATGAGGTTATCGGCAATCTATAATCTGGGCTCTTGTCTCATCACGCTAACTCAATGGGCACCATCTGGTACCCTCCCACCTATACATACATACATACATACATACATACATACATACATACAAACATACAAACATACATACATACATACATACATACATACATGTTCTATTGAACAGTATCACAATGCATAGCTGATATAGCTATTGATCCCGCCAGTATCGGACATGTCAAGCTGTTCAGTAATACAATCGTGACACTGTATTGGACCTTTGTTTCCAGTGAAGCCAAACTTCGGAAAGCATTCAAGGATCTGGACTCTGACAACAGTGGAACCCTTGATGCCGGTGAAATAAAAAAAGCTTTGAGTTCATGCGGCACAAAAATCACTGATGAAACTGCAACGGTACGAAATTTCAATCTTTCTTAAGTAAATTTACGTTACTAAAAGACGTTAAAAGATGGTACTTGTTCTTACCCTGCCTGGCGCTCGGCAAGTCGGCGTTAAGGATATGAAACAACGACTGGTTGGCTCGGAGTTGATATAATGTGCCTTGGTTGTGAAATCCATGTTAAAAGTACAGCATTGTATCTCAGTAGAGTAGCACTATGAAACCAGCGAATTGACGAATATAGGTAGAGCATGAATTGCACGTGCACGGGGTCACACTCCATCACAGTGCCTGCTCATGAAACGCATTCTGTCCCAAAACGTTAACACCGATTGTCCCTGATGTGTGGCAGTATCTTCACAGATAATAATAACAATAATATTGATGATGATGATGAGAATAATATATTGATTCTTTATATTTCAGGCTATCATCAAACAGGTTGACACCGACGGCGATGGAAAAGTCAACGTGAAGGAGTTCCTGGCTGTCTTCCGCAGCCAGAGTTAGCCAAGCCTCCGCATCCCGCTCACTGGCAGCTTGACCTTCACTCGAAGGTTTTTAATGTACAATTTGGTCATAGCATAGACAGTTTCATAATCTTTCTAATAGTGGCTTCGACTGTCAGTCTCCAAAGTACACGTTTAGTGTCCATGTTTAACTGTCCATATGAATCCTACATTGTGAACACACGAGTTAACGGGGCGATGGGGTAGCCTAGCGTTGGCTATCATGCCGAAGACCCGGGTTCGATTCTCCACATGAGTACAGCGTGTGAAGCTACTTGATATTGCCCAGCCTTACATGACGCAATATATAATACTAAAATCGGCGCAAGATCTCCGTCCCCGACCACATAGTATTAAATGCACCTTTCACTTCCGTTACCCATTCACCTGTACACAGAGGTTATCATGCGATGTGCTTTGGGTCGGTAAATATCCTGAATTAAGAATAAACATTTTATTTAGCAAGCATAAAATCGCAGGAGTGATAACCTCTTTATCATACATATGTCATTCCTAAGTTCTATTGGAGAAAAGGGTATTTTCATCTCGCACAAACGGTACCTAAAAATTGCATTTTTCCTGGATTGTGCGCATTAATATATTACGTCACAAAGTCGGTAATTAGTCAGTTGGACAGTGACAGCGTGTAGTATAGTTCCACTTGAAAGTTGTTTTCAGACACTGATTGTTGATGTTTTGTTAACGATATTTGAGCATCGTATTATAAGGTAACAGTATGATCGTTTGAAAAATAACTACTTGTGGTTTGTTTCGGTATAAATTGGCCGGGAGATAAGGGCGAATCTATGTAAGCACTGAAAGTTGTACTACCTGACCTTTCATATTTGAATACGTAAATATAAGAAACTTGTTTGTGTACAGAGCGTACAGCATGTTTTTTTTTCTGAATCGTCACTGTCGGGACATATTTGGAGAAAGTGGACCCATCAATGTTGAACTGTTAAAATCGTCTGTCAGCTACTGTCAAATGTCTATGTAAGCCTGCTTGTGTATTAACTGTAGACAAGTTCAGAAACTATTGTTTTTGCTTCATTTAATTACCACTTTGTATTACAGAAAAGAGAAACAATAAATAACATTAAGTTGGTGTTCGTTTGATCTATTCTCTGTGCAGAGTTGTTTCCCTTGGGCGTTGCAGACGGTTGATTCTAGGTTGTTGGCACCATGCCCGTGCCTGTGGTTTTCACCAAAGCGGTAAACGTTGGCCCCGATCATCAAAGCGAATTAAATTGATCGTAGCTCCTATACTTTAACATAGGCTTACTATACTCGATCGCTTTATGGAACGGGGCCCTGCATCACTTGGGGCTTGCCGCCAATATTAAGATGTTGCACAGTGACATAACCGACATTGGCGTTAAACTAACTCTTTCATTTTGAACTATTATATTTCAATGTGCTCCGTGAGGATCGGATGTTGCAATGTGTAACCTGGCTGATTGTGTTTCGTCATACCCCGACGAGGTGGATTGATGCTCGTGTTGTCAACCACTGGTTTGCTTAGATCAGACTCGATCACAAGTCACCATGCTACAGCTTGAATATTTCTGACAGCGGCAGCATCTACGACCTGCATCATTTCGGGCTTTCCCCCCAAATAATTATAACTGGAATGCCTTCTGTTCAAAGCGGTGTTGAACCCAACTCACTCACTCAGAGAGACCGCCTCCGTTGTCTTGTTGGAGAGCGGAAGGTCCGGGGTAAGATCCCCGGCCGCGTCATACCAAAAGACGTTTAAAGATGGTACTTGTTGTTACCCTGTTTGGAGCTCGGCATTAAGGGGCTAAAACAAGGAATGGCCGGCTCGGAGTCAGTGTACTGTCTGAGTTGGGTATTCATGTTAAACTGCGGCATGGTATCTCAGCGGGTTAGCACTAAAAATCGGCATCTGTCCGGACTAGTGCGCGCGCACGCACGCACATACGCGTGAATGCACGTCGCTATATTCTTTTCCCCCATGTTCTTACCCTGCCTGGCGCTCGGCACTGATAGGGGCCTGGTCGGCACGGTGGCCGCATACTGCGGCATGGTATGTCAGTGGGCTAGCGCTGATGAACCAGCTTGAGTACGGACTTGTTCACGTACGTACACGCTATGTAAGAGCATTAACCTTGAATGCGACGCTAAACCCAATTTCTCCTCACCTCATAGTCGAGAGATAGTTTACAAACTAATACAACATTGAATCCTAAGTTTAGAATGCCTATTTACTCAAAAAACATTCACAGACCCCTTATGTTAGATATTTGACCCAATCAATACATGTGGTTCACGCGAGATTTAAATTTATATGAAATTCAGTAAATGAGATAACAGCTGGTTGAATTCATAAATATGCAAACACATTAACAAGCCGGTGACACATACATACTAAAGCTATTTCATTATTCATGACTAGAGATTCGACCAGTCAGGAAACAGATGTCGTTATAGCAACCATCACATTTCCATAAAACTTTTGCATGCACCATTATAAGTCGAAAACGGCGCGTTTGGTTTTGTAAACAGAAACATTGAAACAAAGGAATGAGTACAGTACATGTGATGCTGTAGATTCCTGCATGCTCAAAGCGGTACATCATGATTACCCCGGTCCGTGGATCAGTGTGCACTCGAATGCACCTCTCAGCTCCCTAGGGAGTAAACTCAAGCTGCATATGAGGCGACAGAAGGTTAACAGTCACGTTGCCATCCTACCGGGTACCCGTTCGCTGCTGACTCATTTTTCGAACTAATTTAGTCACGTGCCGAAGGAGACATCATGCAACGTCACCCGTCCACCTGCCCTCCACGACCAACGTTGCTGAATTTCGTCACGTACATATAGGACCATGTGTCACCAGATGAGATATTCAGTTGTGCAAGAAGGGTGTCCTTTAGTGAGCACAAAACACAACAGTTCGAGATGTACTCCTACCACTTTCCATACATCTTATCTTGTGTTTGTTTAACGCCGCACTCAGCAATATTCCAGCTATATGACGGCGGTCTGTAAATAATCGAGTCTGGACTAGTCACGCCATTGGAATCGATTGAAATCGATGACATGCAACAACCAAGTCAGCGAACCTGACCACTCGATCCCGTTAGTCGCCTCTTACGACAAACGTAGTCGCCTTTTACGGCTAGAATGGGTTGCTTGAAGACCTATTCTACCCCGGATCTTCACGGGTCACATCTTATCTAAATTGATGCCTTCAGCTATGCTATATTTGTGAACACGATAACACATAACAATACCTCCAGGACATGTTCTTATTTACGGCGACTCAATCTTCTGGAATATAAAGTAACCATACTCCTTCTCCAAACACCTGTAGGAAGTGCCGGTGCATTCAGTAATGAAAGTGTATGGATTTTGTCATTTAAGCGTTATTTAATGCAGGTGTAGAGGTATAGATGGCAAAGTAAGGGTTTGTCCTGAATATTTTTTATCAAAATTAGTGAAAGGGATGGGGTCACAAGTTGTTCAATTTGGTGGATATTTTTAAAATAATTGTAATTTTACCCTTCGGCGGGAGACGTTTATCCTAATATCAGTAATGGCTGGTCTGGTCCTGACTCGATTATTCACAGACCAGCGCCATATTGTTGGAATAGTGGTAAGTGCGGCGTAAAAAAAGGCACAAGCATATATACATAAAATTGATCCATAAATATTCAGTGTATCTGAATCGTCCATATTGAAGACTCCAATCTCAATTAAATCAGATCGTTTATTCAGATACAATACCTTTCTGTATGGAGGGTCGCGCGAGGTAAACTTTCTAATCGGCCAATCAGCGTCGTGTCTTCCAAATACTCGGTACGAGTGAACGAAGCATTCGGACAAGCATCTCGGGTGAGTGAGTGAATGAGTATCGTTTTATGTCGTTATTAGCAATTTTCCAGCAATATCACGGCGGGGAACACCAGAAATGGGTTTCACACATTATACCCATGTCGGGAATGCAACCCGGGTCTTCGGCGTGACGATACCACTAGGCTATCCCACCGTCCCTCTCAGTGTAGCTCGAAACGGAAACCTAAATAATAAAGGCTGCGCCATTATATGGTTGTGGATATTTAATATTCCCTGCATGTCGTTTCTGAGCTTCGTGACATTTACACTCAACCTCAAACATTTATAACCATCGGATCAGTATTTATGATTGCTTTTTTTTAAATCGAAATTAGCGAGTCCACATAGTAAAGAAATGAAGCCGAATTGTTTTAGAAAGATGTCATCTGACTGGCATTTAGACTGGGCGTCAGGTTCGCCCAGGGATCATCTATCGCGACCTTCTGTGCGGTGGTGACGTCAGACCTTCACAAAGACATTCGAGTATAAAACATCTGAATTTAATGAGACTGGATCACTCAGTTAGACTCGTGGTCGTGTGTCTGCATTCTCCATTCCTGAGTTAAATGCAACAAATGCACCAGCTACTCTTTATACCCTCTAGTGATGTCATTTAAAACACATTTAAAGTTTATTCGTGATAGTATGAGTCATTACAACCATGCAATGTGAACGTTATTTCATCTCTAGGGAACGCCTTGCGTTCTTGTGTTTCCAGATGTCGACACACGGTGATGCAAACACTCTTTGAGATTGTGAAAATACGCCTCATTTGAGTGCATTAAACGTTTTCAGAGTTCCCGGCCTCAAAAGCATTAAATCGACATAAACTTATTAAGGCAGATACTGCCAAACAGTTGGCCCGAGATAGTTCCTGCATGTAACCCTTGAAGTCTAGAGACTGGTTTTCAGTATGTCACAATAACGACTATATTTATCAAATTATTGATCTTAGTTCAGTTGGAGAGTGTTCCGTTGGGCGTACGTTATGCATGGATAGTGAGGAGGTTGGGTTTATAACACCGCTTTATATCACGGCGTGTCAGATTAATGAGAGAGGAAAGCACGAAGTGATGCAAGTCTGACCTTTATCACTTCAGTGAAACCAGCGAGAACGGGCATGATGCTGACAAACCTAGAAACTAGGGCTGGGACGGGTAACTCGGGTACTCGGGTCGAGTGGGTCCTGAGTGGGACCCGGGTACCCACAGGACTACCCGGACCAGTGGTTAGTCACCTAATATATTGTTTAATGACAAACATTATCTTAAACTCTATGGTAACACTACAGGTCACTAATGTTCCCAATCTAATTCGTATTGAATATGCGCCCATTCCTTCTGACTTTTATATATTTGAATTAAGATAAAACTTCATGCAGTAAACGTCAGTGTATGCATCTAAATACATTTTGCCAGGGCTGCGGTCAAACTTTTTTCCAAATCGGACAGTGTGTACCTATCTTTAGATATCCACAGCGTGTATCCAGGTAGGGTCGGGTAATAGGGTGGTGGGTACCCGGGTAGTAAATTTGGACTCGTCCCAGCCATACCAGAAACATCATCGGGGAGATTTGAACCCACGGTCATAGCTTTCTGGCGATCCCAATGGCATCTTCCCGAGGCAAGCGTGTCAACTAGTTTTCACAAGACTTTGATACAGGCATGTGAATCTTGCCGCGGGAAGATGGACCAAGGGACGCAACTCTGCAGAGCGAATTGCGCTACCTCAGACGACTGGTCCAGCCGTGGTTTCGGTGCTGAATAGTATTTCCTAAGTATTGTAAGATGTCGGGAATGTATGGAATACTGTAAGGGGTAATATTCCATAGAAATACCATTATCACACTGTGTTTTCCCACAAAGCACCAGCTAGGCAAGAGAGCGAGCGAGCGTGCGCGCGTCGCAGTGAGGGAGTGAGTTACTCATCAAGTATTTCAGCTGCATTCACGGCGGCCTCAGTCTTGACCAGTCTGACCAGTTGTTTCCCGTTATCCTCACCGGATCTGAAGAAGCGACTACGGCCACTACAAATGGCCAGAAGAGCACCAATTAACATACCTCACGTACAATACGCAATCTCATTAAAATCAGACCTCAGTTAGCGAGAACTAGCTCTTAATTGTAATGAAGAAGTTATTCATCCATTAATCCTATCCTTACTTAGTACTCCAACTTCTAAATGACTCTCGGAGAAATCAATTTAGTCGTCTGGTCAGACAGTAAGCGAGTTTAGTTTAACGCCACTTTGAATATTAATATTTACGTTTTATCACGACGTGTCAGCTTCATCTTGTAGTAAAGCACGAACTGGTGCGGGTCTCAGACGTTTGCTACTTCGGTGAAACCCACGGGCACGGGTATGGTGCTGACAAACCAAGATACATGTCATGGCGAACTGGAATTCTAACCAACGATCATAGGTTTCCGGCACACCTCATATGAGTGAGTGAGTTGTGTTTAACGCCGCTTTTAAAAGTATTCTACTTATATCGCGGCGTGTCAGCTGAATGTGGGAGGAAAGCCCGAAGTGATGCAGGTCTCAGACGTTTACCACTTCGGTGAAACCCACGAGCACGGGTATGGTGCTGACAAACCTGGAAATATAATCGGGGCGAACCGGGATACGAACCCACAATCATGGGTTTCTGGTGTGCCCGAGGGACGCAATTCTGTACAGCGAATTGCGGCGCCTTAGACGACTGTGCCACCTGTGGCCCCCACAGTGAATTTTGCGCATGAGACTACTAGGCAACTGGTAACCCCTGTGAAGTAGGAAACACCATGGGACATTCAATCGTATGTGTTTTTTTTATCAACAATGGTTCCCTGATGGGAAGATCTTGCTTGTTCACAGTATCTATTTTGCTTATGTTCATAAGACCGTAAAAGTAGTGCCGAAATTTGCCCAATGATATAATGTCTGACATAAAATTGTTGATTATTGCTTTAATGGTTCAAATAAGGGTAAGGGGTCACACAAGTAACTTTATTGCATATGTTTTTTTATATTGTTTTATTGCCTCCCCTCAAAGGTGACGAATGATCTGGCGCAGTGAATGTGTCACGCACTGTGGTGGAGCTGAGGACACCACTGTCCGGAGCCTTATACTGGTCCCAGCATTACTTCCGGTTCAAGATGCCCATCATGGCGGATCAGGTAGTTTTGTTTAGTCATGTTGTGTTTTGTTATAATCATTCTTCAGATGCTCATATTACTGTTTTGTTCATTTCAATAAACAAATCCTTATTCAACTTTCACTTTCAATAGATGCAAATTAGTAGACTGTTGTGACCGGCTGATGTAGTAAATGTTAGTTGTTCTACGGAATCTGTACATAAGAAACGCTGAGGCCAAAGACTTTCAAAATCAGACAGCAAAAACAGATAGATTTCCGGCTGTAAAGACAATGATCGTGAAACATAAACATGAACGCGACCCGGTAATCGAAATGAATTTCCAGTACATGTTGTAGACAGGAGAATATGTTTTAAGCAGTTTTCTCATCACTCCTTCAGTCCCGTCACCTGTTTTCGTGGGAAACGCTCTTTGTGATATTTGCTTTCACTCTGTATTACGCATAATGGAGAAGTGAGTTTGGTTTTTTCCCCGCTTTTAGCAATATTCCAGCAATATCACGGTGGGGGACACAAGAAATGGGCTTCACACATTGTACCCATGTCACTGTCAGCATGGTCAGACCCTGCAACTTCTAAAGTCTCTTAGTCCCAATAGCAGCCTGGCAGTTTTCTTTATTTCAAACACTGGGTGTCATTGTTCATCATCATGATTGGTGTCAACAAATCTGTAAGTTTACGTCTAAGATTTACATTTTGATTGATTTGTGATGTCGCAGTAAACAGCAATTGAGTATAATTGATGACTGATTATTATCCATGTTATCATTTTGTTCCAACTAATCGTTCTCATCATAAATGAATTCCATCCATTTCACACAGGTGAGGAATCATTTATGAACCACCAGCGACCACATAAAGATCATGATAGAATTAGATATACCATGTATATACATTGAATATGTATAACTCTGACCTTTTTGTCTGCAGAGGATGGATGTTGATGTAGCAACTAATCATGAGGGAATCAAACAGTACTACATCAGTAAAATTGAAGAGCTGCAAGTAAGTACCCATCCTTTTAACACTGTTTAATGAGCCTGAGGCCAGTCCATGGTGGTATTATGTTGTGGACACAGTCAATATGGTCCGTTCATCACCATGATCACAACTATTCTCGTCTTCATCAACATTTAACATGTTTGAGTGGACAAGGTGATATTTGCTTTCAAACTTTTGTCTTATTTGGAGAAATTATTATGCAACAGCCACATGATCAGCCTTAGTGAACACATGGTGAATGATACCAATCCAAAACACAATCATGTGCCAGTTACTGAATATATTTTTGTGTATTCTGCTGGCATGGCTGGAGGGCCAAGTTATATATATTTAGGGACATACCTCTCACATTTTACAAGAAGACAAAAAAAATCGGGAAGTAAGTATTTCAGGTTCTCTACCTGAAAATGCTAAAGTATGCTGTAATCACACTATAAAATACACACGTAGGCAAAGTTTTCTGTCAAAGACCAGCTTATTGTGTTCAAATTTTGACGTTTTTCTCAAATTGACCATTTAATTGTTTATTTTTATTTTTCCTTTCATGTCATTCAATAACTGGTATAACTATCAATAACTGTACTTAATCTTGTTTTATTATTTTAATAAATAACACTTGTAGACTTATTTTTGTGCTACATGCACAAAATCCGTTATCCATGGACAGGCAGTCACACATATAAGTGATCCCTCTCAAGAAGTCACTTGTACGCATAGCAAGGACCCGTCTCATCTACACATTACATCCTCTACTGCTTATGGGTCGCAAGTACTGGGATTGCTTGTCATAGATGACTAAATCAAATGGTCAGGGCTCAGTGACTTGGTTGGTTGCATTTCATCTTTATTCCAATGGTGTGGGAGGTTGCTCATAATATGATAAACCACTAGTTTATCTGACCCAGACTCACTGATTTACCATGTGTACGGGCCGCTGTGGTATAGCTGAAATTATACTGCCTGCGTTTTCAAACTACAACACATGATCTCTGACCTGACTGATTGTGCATCAATGTGATCTGACAGGCTGGATTGTTGCTACTGATCTGCCATATTTTTTATGACCTTCATGTTCATGATAATGTTTTTATATTCCAGAAAATTACTGTTGAGTTACAGAGTGTCATAACATGTTTGGTCATATGAAGACTTAAAGTTTGTTGGTATGTTACAAGGATTTAAAGTAAGACTTTGGGTTTATTTTCAGCTTGTGGTCACTGAAAAGACCCAGAACTTAAGACGATTAGAAGCACAGAGAAATGAATTGAATGCAAAAGGTAAAAGACAAATTTCAGATGCCGTTTCATTATTATTCTGGGGCGGTCAAGAAGCGTTGTGGTTAAAGCGTTAGCTCGTCACGCCAAAGACCCAGGTTCGATTCCCGACATGAGTACAATGTGTGAAGCCAATTTCTGGTGTCCCCTGCTGGAATATTGCTAAAAGAAGCGTAAAACTATACTCACTCACTCACTCATTATTACACATAGAATTGATCCCTAGCAACCTAAGCTGGTTATAAATGCAATCAGGTGGTCAGTCTTGGTGACTTGATTGGAAGCCTGATCATATTATCAGTTAAGACTCGATTATGTACAGGCTGTTGTCATATAACTGGAATATTGCTGAGTGAGGCGATAAACAATAACCACACAGACTCACCTCATTTATTCAGTGTATTGTAACATCTTTGATAAATACCATGGGTCTTTTCACAATCTTTCAACCATAGCCACTTTTGGAAGTGACATAATAAGTCAGTAACTTCCCACAAAACATCTCTTGCACATGAGTGTAATTTTGATTGGACAGCTACATTTAGTGTCAGCTCTCGAACTGGACTCATAACGAAGCTGTAGTAGCTATGAGACCAGGGTTTATATCATGAAAGATTGGAGATATTATCATTGATAATACACTGGATAAGTAATTATATATGTTTTGTTGAGCAGTTGCAAGCGTTTTGCATGGGGTATAGCTAACTCTTCTTGCTTCATCAGTGAGGATGTTGAGAGAGGAGTTGCAGCTGCTGCAAGAACAGGGATCATATGTTGGAGAAGTAGTTAAGCCTATGGACAAGAAGAAGGTGCTTGTGAAGGTATGTCAGATGAAGTGGACAGGTTACTCTCAGTCACTACAGCCTGTCTTTGTGCCTTATATAACCAACAGACTAAACTGTTACATGCCCTGTGTATTGACCAGCTGTTGATGCTCCTCCAGGCATGGATGGCCCATTCTTATTAGGTGCCACAATTTGCTGTGCAGAGTTGTCCCTGACAACATGTTTGAGAATGTAATGATTCACCAAATGTATCACGATACTCTGTGCCATGAAGGTCGTGTATCAATACAAAAGGACACAAGTAGATATAGGTATGGTATGGTTTGCAATGTTAAATGGTATGAACATAAATGGTAAAACAATGTTCTGCTTGTGCGCAAGAGGTCTCAAGTCCCTCTTTTATTAACTCACCTGAATCTGTTAAATATGTTTAGGTTGCATTTAAGCTACTATTCATTTCATTTGATACTGGAAATGTTTCCTCGTCCATTGTTAACATGTCAAGTTTTCTTGTCATATTTTATTGAAACCATACTGTTGAGGTATGTTTTATATTGCAAGTATATCGTCACAACACTAGTCCCTTGGACTGCCAGAATCCTAGGATCATGGGTTTGAGTCCCAGATCTGTCCTGCTTGTGGTTCTTGTTTTGTCAGCAGCATACCTTCATGTTCTGGGTTTTACCAAAGTTGCAAAGGTTTTAAGAAATGCATCCCTTGCCTGAGTTGTCTCCTCATTAAGGTGACACGCCTTGACTAACAGGCATTCAAAGCTGCATTAGACCAAACACTCCACAAAAATTTCTGTTTGTCTGCTTTTTGCCTAACGTTAGCTCACATGGCCAAATGAAACATGCATACTCTGTGTTCTGAAGATAATGCTGTTACTTAAAGGCTCTACTGTATTACATGTACATGAAATATTTGCCGAATTTAAAAAAACAGTATTTTCTTTACAGGTTCATCCAGAAGGAAAGTTTGTTGTTGATTTAGACAAGAACATAGACATCAATACTGTCACACCTAATTGTAGAGTTGCTCTCAGAAATGACAGTTATGTTCTCCACAAGATCTTGCCAAACAAGGTAAGCAGACTGAAATGTCTTGAGCTAGTGTTGAAACTAGAGCTAGTGTCATGAAACAAATTGTTACATCTGATTGCATAATCCAATTAGAAAGATCCTAAAATAATCAATCAAGTTCACCGCAAAATATTGATTGCACTGGCCTCGTCAGCTGAGCCACATGGAATATGGAGAGTTTCACACCAAAACAATAAAAGTTACCTATCACAATACATGTTGGGGTACATAGGCTCACACACAGGATGCATCACACCATATACCCCTCGAGATCAGTTGACAACTTATATTGTAACACCCTAGTTCAGTGTATTCCCCTACATGATGGCTTATTGCAAATATCAGTGTAAACATAGTTGATAGTAAACTTATTCTCTCACACTCGCTGAATGCTGAAAGAGGGGTAAAGTTCATGTTCTTTCCATTATTAAAAGTTCAATGAGAACAGACCTCCGAAATCAATTCAGTTGCAAAACACTTTTAAATATCACAATATATGTATGACATAAGAGTAATAAATAACAAGATCACACTTACCAGGATTTCTTAGCCTTTGAGGATAAAAAAAAGGATGCGGATGTGTTCACTTTTATGTTTGTTTCATCCGACGCACCATTGTTTTAGGTTGATCCATTAGTGAGTCTGATGATGGTGGAGAAGGTTCCAGACTCTACTTACGAGATGGTCGGAGGTCTGGACAAGCAGATAAAAGAGATCAAGGAAGTTATTGAACTCCCTGTTAAACACCCAGAGCTGTTCGAAGCCCTTGGTATAGCTCAACCCAAGGTAAGGATATTAATGAATTTGAATATTGTTGTCCATTTAACCAACATGTGACCTTCAGTGAGCACCATGACACAACTTCTACATGTGTGAAACGGACAACAGAAAGAAGTACCACTGGAAGCACATGTAGCATTTTAAAACTATAGTGGATAGAGCTTCTGTCTGAAGGGTTCTTACAGGATTGAAAAAGCTTTGAGTTTTATGGATCTCTTGGAAAGCCTTGATTTTTAGTGTAAACCTTGAAAAGCCTTGAAAATCTCCAAAATAGCTTAAAGCCTTGAATTTGTACAAAATGACATATACTTGTTAATCAAGGTATTAACAAATGATTAATGCACACCAAAATATGTACTAATGATGTTTAAGTGAGATTGATCAAAGTGATAGATTTGGGTGCCAAAGACCCTGAAAAATTCAGAACCGACTTAATTTATTTTTTTGGGTCGGAAAATGTGTGATACTCATACTGCTTTGTAGGTCTTACGACTAATATATAGTATGCTGCATTTGATAAAATATTGACAGACGAAGGCTGATACCCAACTAAAAAAAGCCTTGAAAATGACAGTTCGGTTGATCGTTCGATCCCCTGGTCATACTAAAAGACGTTAAAAGATGGTACTTATTATCCTGCCTGTGGCATGGCACTAAGGAATAAATGAAGCACCCTCCGACTCGAAGGGAGTATCAGTGTAAAACTGTAGCATGGTATCTCAGTGGGATGACACTATAGGTCCAGACTAGTGCACACAGCCACACACCTGCCTGTATGTCGCTATATGAGTGAAATATCTTGAACATCATGTTAAACCCCATTTCACCTCACCTCAACATGCTCAGTGTATAGCGAGTGAATCTCTTCTTGACAGGGAGTACTGTTGTATGGGCCTCCTGGAACAGGCAAGACTCTTCTGGCCCGAGCTGTGGCCCATCACACTGAATGTACTTTCATCAGAGTGTCTGGTTCAGAACTTGTACAGAAGTTTATTGGCGAGGGCTCAAGGATGGTTAGAGAGCTCTTCGTCATGGCAAGGTATTGTGGGAAAATATTTTATTTGAGAAAGTCATACTTATCCTGCTAGTCATTGACTTGCACTATATTTTAGAGACAAGTCAAACAAAGTTGTTCACATGTAAGCAGTGTTAGTAATTCAGGAAGTCATGGATTCTAATAGAATAGTGTGTTCATAATAGAATAGTGTGTTCATAATAGAGCAGTATGTTCATCATGTACAAGTTTTAAGAATGTTGGCCTACATAGCAATCAGTCTAGTCACTTGATTGATGGAGCTTGAAAAAGTCCTGGAATATTGCAGGTAGATCTTAAGACTTATTTAAACTTGACCAAACTATCCAGCAGCCCAATATTAATTATATTTTTAATTTATTCTTTCGTCATGTTGATACCTTTGAAATAGTCAATACCTCGAACAACATGCCTATCATGCTGATATTTGGGGCTGCCAGTTTGAATACAGTTGTGATGTCATTGACACCCAAAACAATTAAGACCAAAGAATTAATCATGTTAATGTGAAATCTTATGTCCCTGAAATTGGTTTTAATAGCGTTAACCCTAAACCTTTGTCATTCACTGTCCCTTGTGTTGCAGGGAACATGCACCCTCTATTATCTTCATGGACGAGATTGACTCAATTGGATCATCGCGTTTGGAAGGTGGCTCCGGAGGTAGGCAACAGTATTTACAAATCGAAATTAGATTGAGTGTATTACTGTAACGTGAAGAAACAATGAATAGTAAGACAGAAGGGGGCTTCCCCTGTGCATGATTTTCAAGGATACAAGCTGACGTCATTTTGTAAAGTAATTGGTAGCCTATGTGTAAAAGCACAAAGACTTGTTACAATGATTCAGACTGTTGTGTTGTGCGTGCGGTTTGAGAGGAACGGGGGTCTTACTACCATACTGTCCCCTAATGGGATTCCGGGTAAGAATGAGTCCCCAGCAACCTATGCTGGTCGTAAGAGATGACTAAATGCATTGGGCGGTCAAGCTCTGTGACTTGCTTGATTGCATCATGTGGGGTAGCCTAGTGGTTAAAGCGTTTGCTCGTCATGCCGAGGACCCAGGTTCGATTCCCCACATGGGTACAATGTGTGAAGCCCATTTCTGGTGTCTCCCACCGTGATATTGCTGGATTATTGCTGAAAGCAGCTTAAGACATTACTAACTCACTCTCTCACTGATTGCATCGTGTGGAATAGGCTCCTGCCTGGACATGCTGGTAGCCCATGGCTACTTTCTTTTCTTTCTAGCTAGTGAAAATGAAATCCTAATTTTCTGTCAAGCAATAAGATATACACCTTCCTCCCTTCCCCCTTCAAGCCCTCCCCTTTCCACCACCAAACCGCCTCTGTGGTCTAGTGGAAGAGCGTCAGCCCAGAGACTTTGATCCCACTTCATACCTAAAGACGTTAAGATATGCTACTTCCTGTTACCCTGTCTGGCGCTCGACAATAAGGGGCTAAAAGAAGGACTGGTCAGCTCTGAAACAGTAGTTGTGTATGATTAGGGTATTCATGTTGAACTGTTGCATGATATCTCACTATAAAATCTGCATTAGTCCGGACTAGTACAAGCAGACACGTGCATGCATGTTGCTATAAACATGCAAGAAACATGGACGTGACGTTAAACCAGTGTGAGACAGCGGGTAGAACTAGAAGACTAGCACTCCTGTGGGAACAAATCTGAAATTTGTTTGATAGTGTGCATCTTGACATACTCTTGTTACAGGTGACAGTGAGGTGCAAAGGACTATGCTGGAGCTACTTAATCAGTTGGATGGTTTTGAACCGAAGCAAAACATCAAAGTAAGGAGCTGATGCACAAGTTGTCTGCCTTGGAGCAATATTAGTTTGAAGCATTACTAGTTGACAAGCATTGGTAGATCTGTGAGACTTAATCTTTGACTGTTAGATCTAACTAGACTCATGCAGTGAGCATGGTGAGGATGTATGTTGAATGGAATAGCATTGCTTGTCACACCAAAGACCCGGTTTTGATTCCGCACGTGGGGACAATGTGTGAAGTCCATTTCTGGTGTCCCCCGCTGTGATATTGCTGGAATATTTCTGAAAGAGGCGTAAAACCATACTCACTCACCCTAATAACTATCAGTTTGAGTCCAAGATTTGTTCATGTTCAAACATAAGGAGCCACTACCTAAACAATCTGTAATCATACTCTTTAACACCTTAGCCTTACCTATGCATGTAGGGGTGTTATGTGTCCCAAACCTGCGGTTATTGAAACAGACAGTCTAATTCTTATTGATATGAACATATGAGTTTCATTATATGTAAAGGTTTGCTCATTTATTGACTTATCCAGATCACTGGGTCAGACAGAGAGCCCTTATCATACCTTGTCCTCACATGTTCATCAGGTTCAAGATGGCCGGTTTTGGAGCAATAGTATGTTAACATGCAGCCTACATGTTCATGTAGAACCTGTCTTGATTGTCACATCTGGACAAATTGTTATAAAATGTTTAGGAAATGTGTGCCAGATCCATCTCAATAATAAACATGATAAACATGATGAAACACAATTCTGATCTTGTGATGATTGTGGTCAGCTTGATATCCCAACTTGTCTATGTTAAGTTCACTTTCTCTGGCGTATACTTTGTGACCCTCCCAGTTGAATTTGGAGAGCTGGGTTGTCATTTTATGTAATTCAGTTACATATATTTCCAACTCTACTAAGTCATTCATTTCTACTTACAGGTTATTATGGCCACCAACAGAATTGACATCCTTGACTCAGCTTTACTACGTCCGGGACGGATAGACAGAAAGATAGAATTTCCCCCACCCAACGAGGAGGTGGGTGCTTGTTTGCTTTACTCCACAGCAGTAAGATAGAGAAGCAAAGATCATTTTCAGCTCACCTCAAAATTGACTTGGAGAATTCATAACCTGTGTACTTCCTTTGCACTTCTTGGGATGATTGGGTGACAGTGAAGGTTAAGGTCACATTGTGAACTTGGCATCAAATAAGCTGGTGGAGACAATAGCTAGAGTATACATGATTGTCATTTGATGGGATTATTTAATATATCACTGATTATGTGGTAGCTTAAAATAATGGTTTGAATATGTCATGTATGTGAAAGCAAACATGGATTCCACCATTAAGACCTAGTGAAATGTTAGACTCAACTAGTGTCACATTATCCATCACTTCCACAATGACCACAGATTACACATAGTTTGTAATGGTGGCATGGAAGACGAACTAATGTTGTCTACATTTTAGTATCATGTCTATGTTTGAACCCATAAATAGAACCGAGTAGGTTCCTCTCCTTAATACATGTGCCTGTGTCAGTGGGACACACATCCTTCTGAACAATCATGACAATATATATATAAGCTGCAGGGTCATGACACTGTTCTTATGTAGCATGTCCACTACATGACTGTTACTGTCTTCTCAGGCTCGTCTAGACATCCTGAAAATCCACTCAAGAAAAATGAACCTGACCCGGGGCATCAATTTACGCAAAATTGCTGAAATGATGCCAGGTGCATCAGGTGCTGAAGTTAAGGTAAATATATGTGACAACAAAGTAGGTAATATGAAATGTTCTTTCTTTCAACCTTTTGGGGATTACTGGCAGAATTGGTCCCAGGTCCCCCAAGCTTGTCACAAGAGCTACGAGGAGGATTGATAGAAATACTTGACCTAAAGACTAAATCATTTAAATACATAATCCCCTGCCTCATTGCACGATCCTGAAGTTTGTCCATTTTCCATAGGTCACAGACCCCTGCTTATTTTACTCGTCACAGCGAAACAATTTGCTCATTTTTTTTGTGGCTATACCTCTATGACGTGTCGTTATGTAAGACTTCACTATTAGGTTCAGAACACATCACATCAGTCAACCCTCGTATTAATGAGGGTTGGGTTGTTTTAGTGTGTAATCTGGCTTATGAATGGCTCATGCTGTCAACCACTGATTTGCCTGACCAAGGCTTAATTAACTGGAATATTGCTGACTGCTCTATGTTCTTTCTTAGAGCTTGTGCTTATGGTGCTCTCTGTCACCCTTATACATGTATTATCCTTGTACCAAATTCAGAAAGACAAAAGGATTATTTATATATTTGTTCCAAGCATCTTGTTTTCAAAACATGGGGATTTCAGGTCAGAATAGATTGGGCTGTGATTGCATGTGATCATAGTTACTCATGCTTTCAGACACTACTAGTTTTTTCTGGCCATACTCATTTATGTACAGTCAAAATGTAGCTTGAATATTGCAGACTGGCCATTGAGCTTAGTTCACTCACTAACTGAAACATATATGTATGGCTATTTCATGGATTTATGAAATGTCACAGTAATCTTGGAACGAGACGTTAAACCCCTTTTCGCCTCGCCTCCCCACCCCATCTCGACACAGAGTTGTCTTTAAATCTGTTATGATTCACTTAGTCCATTACAACAGTAGGGAGCACAGGTGGCCCAGTCGTAATTCACTGTGCAGAGTTGCTTTTCTAAGGCATGCCAGTGGTCATGGGTTCTCTGATTGTTTCTAGGTTTGTCAGCATCATATGCTACTTGTGGGTTTCACCACCAAAGGTCAAAGGCCTGCATCATTTCAGGCCTTCACACGCCTTGATCTATTACAGAAACACTGTATACGGCAACATAAAACCCAACTCCCTCACTCATTAAGACAGGAAACAAGTAATATCTGGCTGAATTCAGCGAAGATAATAATGTATGTCTTTCTGTGCAGGGTGTATGTACAGAGGCAGGGATGTATGCCTTGAGGGAGAGGAGAGTGCACGTCACACAGGAAGACTTTGAACTGGCTGTAGCAAAGGTAGGTTTCTTTACCAGTACCAACAATAATCCTCTAACAGAAATATACACTGTGTCCTTGTGGGAACATCTATTCTGTTGCATGATGGTAATACTAGTGTAGCTAATGAGATATGAGTGATCAAACTGACTGATGGTGTGTCAACATGCACTGATGTTGTGGATTGTTGCTCATGTTATCAACCACAGGTTTGTCCGATCCAGGTCCCTCTGATACAGTTTGAATATTGCTGTCTGATGTCAAGCAGCACAAACTCAACCAACCCATCGCCACTGATATGTTTTGATTAATTGTTTGATTAACTAAAGGAATTAGTTACCATTAGCATGATTAGATTTCCATCCATTATTTTTGTTAAATGTGAATTTTTTTCTTGTTTATAATGTCTTTAAACAAACTGTTCAGCATGTTAAGAGCATCTTCATGCATTAAGGGTCTGGTGATGTGGCTCACATGAAGCTTTGTTTGGATTTTGAAAAGTTTCCATTTCATCAAGTAGGGGATGAAGGGAAACTGCAAGTTTTCATCTGTGGTAACCTGAAGACAAAAACATAATGAGAGACAGGGTGTTTGATACTTAGGCAGGATGATTATCTGACATGTGTTTTATCATGGCCTCATGTTATACCTTTCTGTTGCAGATCATGTTGAAGGATGCAGAGAAAAACATTTCAATTAAGAAACAGTGGAAGTAATTCTCTGCGACATGAAGAGACCGGAGTGTCACATGCATGGAAAACAAATTTGAGAATTGTTGTTTCCAAGCACTGTGCTTATTTAAGCAAAACACCATATGTAGTATGCATGTCATGTTTGAAGTCAGTCAGTTATGTTCATCGACATCATTTTGTATAATATGTGACCTTGCAGTTGATTCCGCTGGCTGGCTTGACATGCCCATGTTTATGGTGATTTTCTGTCATCAGAATGTTGTTTCTATCTCAGAAATAAAAGGTATATGTACATACTGTTGTTAGTTAGTCACCATGAGAATCAAGTCAAGTCAACTGTTATCCAAGCCCACCTGTCTTAGTGTAGATAATGACAATGATGAAACCAGGGTTTACACTGATGTCACATTGATACTTGCTTATGTGGATTCCAGGTTAGAATTGACCGTCTCTGTGGTCTAGTGGTCCGTCCAGATATGTCTGGGGTTTGATCCCCAGCTGCATTCATACCAAAAGACGTTAAAAGATGGTACTTGTTGTTACCTAGTCCGGCGCTCTGCATTAAGGGGCTAAAACAAGGACTGGTTGGCTCGGAGTCAGTATACTGTGTCTGAGTGGGGTATTCATGTTAAACTGCAGCATGATATCTCATTGGGCTAGCACTGTAAAATCAACAACAGTTTGGACTAGTACAAGCAGCGAGCCTCACACACAAACACACACGCATGCAGGTTGCTGTATAAATGCAATAGCCATACTGCTTATTCCTGTACGATATTACATACTAAGTTAAAGACAACATGTAGGGCCACTTATCAGCTTCGTTTGGTACAGTTCAGACAACAGAAAAAGTACTGGAATAATGTCTTGGGGGGGGGGGAACTGTTTGAAAATATGTCCTGAATGAATACAACTATTGATGACATGTACAAACATGAGTTCCCTGACATGTAGTTTGGATTCAAAACATTGTAATTAGATGTAAATATTTACTCTACCAGAAATCTGCCGGGAGAGCGGAAAGTCTGGTTTGATTCCCTGACCATGTCATACCAAAAGATGGTACTTGTTACCCTGCCTGGTGCTGGGCTTTAGGGGGATAAAACAAGGATTGGTCTGCTTGGTATTCTGTGTCTGAGTGGTGTATCTATATTAATCTGCAACTTGGTGTCTCACTGAGCTGGCGCTATAAAACCAGCCTAAGCAGCTACAGACACACATGCAAGGGCACGTGTAGTAATTATGAACAGCATTTTTCATTCCCTACTCTACAAGAGTGAGTGAGATGATTTAACATTGCATCAGCATTATTTCAGCCATATAGCAACTAGAACAAGTTGAGGTATGAGGCAGTGTTTATACAGTTGACAGCAAGGGATGTTCAGAGTATGATTGACAAGCCTATATACAGGTATGAGACAACTGTAGGGAATACAATACGAACTGTAGGGAAAGGGTGCAGCATTCTTTCGACTGCAGCTTATTACCCCTCTGATCACTTGTTCATAACTTTGAGTGTGAGTGAGTTGGGATTTTACGCCGCTTTTAAAACAGTATTCCAGTTATATTGTGGCGTGTCAGCTAAATGTGGGAGGAAAGCCCGAAGAGATAGAGAATCTCAACCGAGTGTCTTTTGATATCAAATATATCAACACGAGTTGATAAAAGTGGAAAAATTCCGAGGCTTGCCGAGGATTTTTTCCACTTTTATCAACAAGTGTTGATAGATTTGATATCAAAAGACACCACGAGAGATTTTATTTATCATCCAACATCATTCTTCCAACTTTTTCAATTTGTAGACAGTAATTAGCAGTGTCTTCAGTGTATTAGCAGAGCCATTAGTGATGTCATTTGATTGTGACGTCATGGTAACCATGGTCTGCAAAGCATTGTGATATAATTAAATTTTCGTTGTGTTCATGGAAATTCCTGCAGTCTACGCTACGCGGATTCATACAGTTTGCACATCGGTTTTTCGATTCATACCTCAATGAACCGAAAAAAATACACAGTCAATCCTTAAGTAATTTCATTGCAGCGATATCTACAGTGTAGATATCGCTTGATCTAATCCAAGCCATATCTCCTGTGGGAGCCAGTTTTGGATGATAAATGCAGGTCTCGGACGTTTACCACTTCGGTGTAACCCACGAACACGGGCATGGTGCTGACAAACCTAGAAACATAATCTGGGCGAACCGGGATTCGAACCTGCAATCATAGGTTTCTGGCGTGCCCAAGGGACGCAACTCTGCACATCGAATCACGGCGCCTTAGACGACTAGGCCACCCGTGCCCCCTACATAACCTTGATTACACTGTATACGAAACGAACTGAAGGCGAAAGTGGGCACAGGCAATGAACTCGAGAAGATGGATGTTTGCCTGTAAACAAATGCATGCCGGTATTGTATCAGTAGTCATATATACTCACGCAGAGACGTCACATATCACAATAGTAATTTCCCTCACTGCTTGTCCAAATGTGGACAAAGAGATACCTTCATTTACCTTGAAATATTAATGTTGTTTAATGTTCATGTGGTCCTGTTGTCAAGAAAATGGTCATGGAATGACAAATCCAGTTAAATAATTCAAGGAAATACACCAGTGAATTAAAATTAAAGATTAAGATTGACATATTAAACATTTGCAACAGTTTTATAAAGGGCACTGTCGTGTTAGTATGTGCCGCTGTTAGTACTGGCAGGACCGTCTTAAAGGACTGAAGCCCTCAGTCTGTGCACTATGTTTCTTAGGTATTGTCAAACACGAAACATCCAATCCGAGTGTTTACATTCACCACAATGTTCGGAGTTCCGTGAAACGCATACTGTATGTTCTATTTACTGAAATTATACATTTTGTTTTAAATAATAATGCATGTATTTGAATTTAAAAAATGCAAATTGAACATGTTCAACTTGTACACATAAATTTGATAAAGGCTTTATCGAAAACGGCTGCATGGTATAATAATCTTTAATAAACTAGACTTTTATAAATAATAAGAAGGAGAAGAAGAGTAATGTCTACTTTAGCTATCAACTATACATTTATATATAAATGTGTATGTGTCTTCAGTATCAATGTCAAGATATGAGATTCAGTGTCTGAACAGGTTCTTTATATCGAGGATATCACTAATATATAATTTTTTTACTTATCCTGCATTACTCCTTAATGCATTCACTGCTTACTTACGACAACTAGAAGGACAACGCTGCGAAGGTCCTGGGTGAAGAAATAAAGTTGTTGTTCTCAAGTCCCAATCAGTGGCCTTCCGTCGCTGTCCTGTGACCTTGATGACACCTAAGGTCATCTTCACATCACTGCTTGTCGCAGCACAGCTAGGACGTGTCCCATCGGAGCTCTCCTTTTGGATTAATTTTAGACCTTCAGTTTGTCTACAATCTTAAAAATTTATCTGCCATGGGTGATGTATTCTTTTCATATTACTATAATAAACCTTATGACCTATAATAACCTTTAAAGGTTAATGTTTGGTCAAGGCTAATTATAATTCCTAGAATTAGCTGTCGGGGAATTAGCAAGGGACCGCACACCTTAAAACAACCAAGAGAAGCATCTATTAGTGGCCAGTCTTTATTCCGTGTGTCTCAACAGTCAGTTACATATCACAATAAAACATAAACAAAGTACAACCTAAGACAATTGAAGTATTCCGAAAATTATGAATTAACAGTTACAGTAAAAATCTTACAATATATCATACAATAAACAAATGCATTTAACAATGAAACGAAAACACTTTACAATTGGTTGGAAATGTAATACACGTGGTATAGCGCAATTAAGGACAATGTATTTTAGATAACTCTTCGGTAAGACACGTACTACATGTGGTACCAATAACTAAAATAATCTTACATGATCTTTTAATGTTTATTCGAAACGTAAAGATGAGCTTTACTTCAATACAACCTTACAGAATACAACTTAAACCAATTAATAAGAATATTCAAATATTAATAAATATCTCACCCATTACTAAAATAATCTTACATGATCTTTTAATGTTTATGCGAAACGTAAAGATGACCTAACCTTACAGAATACAACTTAAACCGAATAATAAGAATATAGAAATATTAATAAATATCTCACCCATTACTAAAATAATCTTACATGATCTTTTAATGTTTATGCGAAACGTAAAGATGACCTAACATTACAGAATACAACTTAAACCGAATAATAAGAATATAGAAATATTAATAAGATTTCAATCTGCTAATTAAATAAAATGGCCACATGTTTTATATCTAAACTACCGTTAATAACAAAAAGTCATATGCCCGACGGCATGTCATTGAATGTGTACAACGTAGAAATAAAAAGAGCTTAATAATACTGAAGATATAGCAATACATGAGCAGCTGAATTAAACAACAAGTGTTATGTGCGCGCACGGGTTTTGCGTGTACAGTACAGTTGCCTCGCTCAATAAGTACATTGTTTTAACATTAATTACATCAAGGGTAGTTTGAATCATTTGAATGGAACACACACAGTAATCATTTAAAGATGCATTCATTTACATACATGCACACTTCAATTGCAAACATTCAATAAAATATACAATTGACAACAGATGCACAGGAATTACTTTGCTTCCACGAGCCCGGCGGAATATAAATTTGCTGAACCAATGTCTAAAAAAACGTTATCATATTATATTTTATACTATTTTAATATACACTATATTGTTAGATTGTTTTTCATGCTACATGATCTAACCTTACTATAATACTAACTTTACTGGTTACCTTAGTCATTCTTGCCTAATTTAAAATGTTGATTATATTCAAACCAACTGAGAATATAGAATGCAATAGAAAACAGGAAAAATAGGAATATAGTTTAATAACATACAATATACATGAAGTGAACATATCTTACCTTAAAACAACCAAGAGAAGCATCTATTAGTGGCCAGTCTTTATTCCGTGTGTCTCAACAGTGAGGTACCCGGAATAAAGGCCGTTATTTATACCACTGATGCTCTTAGGTCATGATACGGTCGCATTTTCAATTATCACTTACTTAAACAATATCTACACAATGTTGCTAATCTAACATGCTGACTATCTGAATTTCAGAGATTACCTCTCAGTTTTGAAGGACATGAGTATGCAGAAATGACTAAAATTACATAAGTTTTCTTGGAGAGCGCGTTATCATAGAATAATGTTTACTTCTCTCGCTGGACATGTAGTCTTAACGATTAGCTCCTAACGCTTATAGACTAAATCTTGGGAATGAAGGCAGGCGTATATCAACACCGACTGATAATAACTTTGGACGGAACATGCATGTAGGCTTAACGCTTAATACATAATGCCTTTCGACTACACAATGTAGTCTTAACGCTTAATACATAGTGCTTATCAACCCAACCTTGTGAATGAAGGCCGGTGTATTCAAAAACCGACTGATAGTTAATTGTAGTACACAAATTATTAAGTAACATACCCAAAATATGATGTTTAGTCTTATTTTATAAAGTCAAAATTATTTACAAAAAATAGAAGAAAATATGATGTATTTTGGGACTATGACATACCCCTGGGCGTCGTGGAGCTTTTGTCCTCAAAAGCTTTTAATTTGAGAACATTATACAATTATACAAAACATAAGTAATAAGACAAAGAAATGAATGCAAAAACAAACAGCTCAAACATCAAATTCATAAATGGTAACATGATGTACAATATAATGTATTGCTCAAATGCAATGCCCACACACTAAATTAACTGCAACATGTTTGGTTGATCAATGACTTGATAAAAACTGTTGTGGACTTGAAGAATGTATGCACTAAAAGGTTGTGTTAAAATCTTATGGAGTTTACGGGCATTTAGAAAGGAAATTCTAATGTTATTAGGTATAACAATGGAAGTTGTAGTCAGCTTGTTCGTAACAGTGAAACCTGGCCAATTGACGGAGAGAGTGGGGAAGAAATAACCAGAGATTCGAAGGTTGTCAATAGTGTAAGGTGGCTGAATGTTCCAATAAGAAGGGCAAAGAGTCAGAGACATAACTTGGACAGTAACACAATCAGGACCTGTAGTGAGTTCTAACAAGAGACCGTTCTGAGAAGTAGAGCGTCGGCGATACAGTAGGAGCAATACAGAAGCAACAGCTACAGTGAGAAACCCTAAAAGGATAGACACATGATAGTCCGCCAGATCCCTTAGCACAAAGCTCGATAAACTTGGACTAGGAGTAGTTGCAGCAATATAACTGAGATCTGGAGGTAACACGGCTTTAACTGGGACAGCACGTGTGATCAACATAAGTGCCGCAGAAAGGGTACGAATTTTGAAGAACATCCAGAGCGCCAAAACAAATGTTATACCAGAGATAGTACTGGCAGTAATGGCAATAAGAAAATTTGTATCCAGCCATGATGATTCAACAGAAATTGTTCCATCAAGGAGAGGTTCTGCTATTGTTTGAAAAATAGTTTCATCTTTCTTGGCTCTCTCTGCAACACGTTTGAGACTAAGATGGGCTTTATTGTCGTTTGCCAAAACATCAGACATCTCATGTGAATATATGTTAAAGTTTGGAATAGAAAAATTTAGAGCTTTCTGAAATGTTGTATCTCCAGTGATTGTTGAGAGAGCAGAGGAATCAAAGAAATGTTGAAGTAAGGCTAGATTGACCGGAAAAAGTTTAGACATGTCCCCTGAAGAATTATTACAAGATGAAAAGGCAGCTGGGTAGAAGAATGCTTCAGTTGATAACGAGCAGTAACAAGGAATTTCTATGACACAAAAGGAACAACCAGTAACTATACGGTGCCCACCTTTACAAGCGAGCTTTAGAAAGGGAATCCTGTAGACGAGAACATGAGAGCCATCTATCATTAATATCTGGGGAGGCTGGGGTCTGGTAATATAACGAAAATCACAGAGAGCCTTTACAGAAGGTTTGATGTTTTGGAACAAGGCAAGAGCACATGAAGGCATGGTTGTAGAATGGACAGCAATGCGAAAGGGACACTGAAGTAATAAGTTATCACCAGAGCAAGAGCCTATAGTAGAACTTGAAAGTTCAGCATAGTGTTGATGGTCTTGTGAGATTGCAATAACATCCGGAATATCTAAAAGTTGTGTGGTATGAGAGGAAGTGTCATTGATGGGTAAGGGCAGGGATATCACTTTGTATAGTTGATATGGCTGGGTCATGGAGGACAATGGGAATTTTACTGATATATATATATGGAATTTTGCACGGGTAAAGATAAATTTAGCATTGGCATAATAATAGTTGGGAGTTGTTTGCAGAATGTTGAAGCTGGGATACTTTTGAGAGAGAAGATTTGAAATGTGATGTACAGTCTGTTGTAAGATCTCTGGAGGGATTAGAAGTGGTGACAATTTATTTTTAGCTAAATCGTGAATACCTAACTTAAGTTCTTCAAGTTGATGTTCTACAACATACGCCTGTTGAATCTGGTCAATTAAAAGAGATGTCAATGTGACAAGAGATGACTGAATAGACTGAACATTTTTCTCTAAAGCAAGGGCAGTATACTGAATGGCATCATGGTTTGCCTTAACACCTTTTACAGCATTTTTGAAGCGACTATCTACAACTTTCATGAAAGATGACATATGGGCAGAGTGTTGTTTGAGGGTGTTTGTGAGACTAATGTCATGTTTTGTGAGGGCATTTATGTGTTGAGCAAGTATGTTCACATCATTTGTAGTTGCTGTTCCAAATAATGTCTTAGACAATGAACCAACAAAGCTTAAAATTGCTCGTTTGGAGCGAGAAGAGGAAGGACGATTGGACTCAGGAATGAGCTTCATGATTTGTTGACGTGTTGCATTAAGTTGAGTAACACACTTCGTTTTGACAACATTCAAATGCATTTGAAATTGATTGAGGAGTGCACAAATGCTGTTGCCTTGGTGACAGCCGCCCATTGTTGGAATACTTGGAACTGTTGGGAGCTTGACCTCATAGGTGTGGACCCAAAACTCTGTCGCAAAGTGAACTTTGGAGGTTGGCTGGTAGATGACTCCATAATTAAGACGTTGGATTGGACTCGAACACGTGATAGGGTGAGCGAAAACAGTCAGTAGCCAAAGTAACATCAGACTCCATGCAGACCCTTAGAGAAACGAAAACAATGGAAACCAATAAGATATGATGACCTAGAGATGCAAAATGTCCTGCAGTAACATATGCAAATCCTAGCACTTATAACACACAGAAACTATGTTACTGTAGAGGGGTTGGTCAACATTATCCAAGGAACCCAATGAAATATCATTAAGAGACTGAGGAGATCAAGATAGGTCTTGAACTACTTGAAAAACCTAGGTTTGTGTTTGCGTGCACGTCCGGAATGTGTCTTGTGTTTATGGAAGTGTTTGAGAAGATGAGGACTGAGATTAGATGCAGGTTCCCAGGTGGTTTTGGAATATCCCGTCCATTTGACCTGATACTGTTTCCTACCTCTCATTATTTTGCAGCGAAGGATGCTATCAACAGGAAATGTTTGACTTTGCTGAATGTCAACGTCAGGTAACTGAGATGTAGAGGGAGTGGGTAAAGAATTTGGGGTGTCAGAATCAGGGATGTTTGATTGTGGGGGTACTGGGAGTGTGACATCTTCAGGGTTGTGTGTTGGTCGAGGAGCTGGGGATGGACATCTAGTCACTTGCTCTTCATCAGGATCTTGTGCATTGGTAGGATTTTCAGTTCTCACGGTGTATGTTTTCAACCTGTTAGCATGAACAAGGGATTTGTGGACTTTTGCCGAGTGTGAATGTTGAAGTTTGAATGTGTGATTTGGACCTAAAGCAATGATTGTGAAAGGACCTACCCATTTGCTTGACAATTTGGACGAGAGACCTTTTGGGACTGTCGGGTCAGTTAAGAGGACCTTGTCACCAACTGAGAAGGATGGAACCTTAGCTTTCAAATCTGTACGTTCTTTATTGATTTTCTGACTAATCTGTATGTTGTCTTTGGCTATGGATTTGGCAACTTTGAGATTTTCTAAGACTGTGTTAAGGTGTTTCTCCGCAGTTTTCCCTACAGTGGGCTTTGGAAGTAGGCTTATATCTATTGGAAGATGCATTTCCCTACCAAACATGAGAAAGTGAGGTGTATAGCCAGTGGAATGACATGGAGTTGAACGCATTGACATCATGATACAGGGGATGAGATCTGCCCAATTTGATTGATCACGTTCAACATATGCCCTGAGTGCTTGCTCAATAGTGCTGTTCCTTCTCTCGCACATGCCATTAGTCTGAGGGTGGTAACTTGATGTATAGTGATGCTTGATATCAAGAAGCTCACAGAGTGCATTAACAAGCTTTGATGTGAACTGCCTACCTCTGTCAGAGAGAAGAGTGCGAGGCGCACCAAACCGAGTAATCACTTCATTGAAAAGGATGGTAGCAACCTCACTGGCTTCCTGGGTACGCATAGGGAAACCTTCTGTCCAACGTGTGAAAGAATCAACAATCAATAGAACATATTTGTAGCCTGCCTTGGTTTCTGGGAGGGGACCTAAGATGTCAATGTGAAGGCGGGAAAAGGTGTCTGCAATTGGCATTGGGACCATTGGAGCTGGCTTGGCATTGATCTGACGCTTATATCATGGGATAACATTTATACTAAGTTATCTTATAATAATTAGATCTACATCAAGTGCTTTTATGAGTTATCATGATGTAATATTTATACATCATTTCATATAATTGTAGTTTTAGCAAGTAATAATTATCATTAGGTAAAATGCATATATAAAATATCAGTAGTTTCAGTTAAAGCTTTTTAGATGGTTGCTAGCCTAAGGTAATGGGAGCGCGTCTTCTAGACATACTATTCAATAAGACAAGAGTTACGTCTACATAGTTTAATTGATTTAAAGCTTTTAGATAAATGCTAGCCTAAGGTATCAAGATCCCATCTCCCAGACAAAGGATATTTATTTAAGTATATCTGTCATCACCCACCGGGGTATATTAGAATAACATTATTTCAATTAAGACTCATTAAGGATTAGCCCCCATACAAGCTCGTCTATAGTGCATTAAGGATTAGCCCCCATACAAGCTCGTCTATAGTGCATTAAGGATTAGCCCCCATACAAGCTCGTCTATAGGGCATTAAGGATTAGCCCCCACACAAGCTCATCTATAGTGACACCCTAATCTCTTTCAAAGCATCCAGTAAATATGTCAACAAGATTAGTGCCAGTCCAACAGGATAAACAGGATTTAGTATTCCCCTCTGTCTAGCCATCCATTTAGCTTAGGACACAACCAATCGTGTATCAACCAATCACATTCCTTTCTATTGTTTAAATTTTTGTTAAATACATACTGTAGGCAGGTTTTAGGAGAGAGGGGGTTTGACTCTCTTACCAAGCAGACCTCTCTCCCACAGCCCAGAGTGTGTACCGACTCTCTGTGGCACCCTCAGTTATTATCTAAGTATATTGTAAATTGTTAATTGTTCTTGTAAATAAAATTGTGATTAGTCTCCTGTGACTCTGGCTCTTTGCTGACTAATTCCCCAAGAAAACCAGCACGTCATTTGGAAGGTATTGTTCACCCAGAACAGTTCCATGATAATTTGGCGGAGAATCATCGTTTTCGGAACCACAGAGTCCAGGAACTAACTACGACCAGCTACAAGAAACCCATTGGAGGACATGCCCAACCGTGATCATCTGATGGAATAACAAGCAAGCTGCATCTACCTCTGACCTCAACACTGGATTAAAGACAACCAACTCCTCCAAAGACACCAACAAAGGAAGAAAAAGTCTTCAAATATTGTAAGTAATACATTGTTGAATACTTGTCATCCTTTAATTTAGTACGGTACATACTAATAGGTGTCATGGCAAATATGGAGTCTGGAATGGAAAGTAACTTTGAAAGTGAAATTCCAACAGTGTCTTTAGTTACGCCCCTTGCCAACAGTGTAATTCAGGCAAAATTTGGCACAAAAACAACAAATTGTTTAGTAGATACAGGGGCATCCATTTCTTGTATTTCGTCTGCTTTTCTTAGCACAGCTTTTGAAAACCTTACTCTTGGAAACTCACCCTTTCCACAGGTTAAAGGTGTTGGCGGCGAATTGCATAAAGTGTTAGGTTCAGTTGTGTTAGATTTTGTCATTGAGGATCAGGAATTTTCTCAAAGATTCCACATTCTGCCTACACTTCCAGAGGCAGTGATACTAGGTGAAAACTTCCTTGATGACAATGATGCAGTCTTAGATTATAGCTGTCATTCCTTGATACTTAACAACAGCACCTCAGACAGGCAATATATCAATTTCATAGCCAATTCAGTACAAGAGATTAGTGGATTAGCAAAAACAATAGATCAGATTTACATCCCCCCTCAGAGTGAAATTCATTTCAAGGTTAGACTATCAGAGACCAAAGAGGACTCCCTCATCCTCATTGAACCCATTGCTTCCCTCACTGCTCATTCTGAAGTAGCAGGTGGTAGAACTCTTTCCAAAGTGAAAAGCAAAACTGCTACATTTAGGCTTATGAATCCCTCCCAAGAAGAAAAGGTTCTTGACAAGGGTACAGTTGTAGGCAAATTTAGTTACATTGAACAGGGCTCTGTTTATGAAATCGACTCTGACCAACCATTCATCAGTACCGTTCACACCACTGAGAAGAGAGCCAATGACACCAGGGATTATGTTAAAATTGCACAAGAATTAGGATTTGATTTGACCAATACACAACTGACTCCAGACCAACGACACAGACTACTTAGATTTTTGGGACAAAATAGAAACATGTTTTCAACGAGTCTTGCAGATTTAGGTAAGACTGACATGCACCAACATATCATTGACACTGGCAACCACCAACCCGTTAAGAGTAGACCATATCGTCAATCTCCTCATCTCCAAAAAGTCACTGAAGAACTTATAGATGATTTTCTAAAGTATGATTTGATCGAGGAATCTACTTCTATGTATTCAGCTCCAATTATCCTAGTCAAAAAACGTGATGGCTCATATAGATTTGTTTGTGACTACAGAAAGTTGAATTCTGTCACTTTACCAATGTCTTGGCCTCTTCCTGTTTTTGATGATGTTATTGATAACATCGCCAATGCACATGCTAAGATCTTCTCAACTTTAGACCTTGCTAATGGCTTCTTCCAAGTGCCATTACATGAAGATTCAAAGCATAAAACTGCTTTCGTCACCCATCAAGGCCTTTATCAATTTAAACGATTGCCCCAAGGTTTGACAAATTCTCCACTTTGTTTTCAACAGCTCATGAGCAAAGTGCTACGAAAATTGCTTTTTAAGGTTGCGCTGATCTACATTGATGATTTGATAATTTACAGCAAAAACTTTGAAGAGCATCTTCAACATTTGGAGCAAGTATTTTACTATCTGAAACAGGCAAAATTAACACTAAAGCCATCCAAATGCAATTTTGCAACGGACAAAGTATCTTTTCTGGGTCATGTTTTATCATGTGGAGGTGTTCAAGTTGATGACAAAAAGATTGAAGCAATTAGAACCTTTCCAGTGCCCAAGTCACAAAAGCAGATTCGCTCCTTCTTAGGTCTCACGAACTTCTACAGGAAGTATGTGAAAAATTACGCTCACATAGCCCTTCCACTGAATGCCTTGCTAAAGAAGCATTCGGAGGCAGAACTAGGAAAGAAACCAAAGTTCCAATGGTCACTTGAGTGTGATCAGGCATTCAACACACTCAAACATGCTATGAGTAATACACCTGTTCTGGCGTATCCAAATTTTGACAAAGAATTTCTTCTTGCAACTGATGCCAGTGATATGAGCATAGGTTTTGTTTTGAGTCAAAAAGACGAGAAGAATAATGAACATCCAATAGCTTATGGTGGTAGAGCTCTTCATGGCAGCGAAAAGAACTGGAGCATTACAGAAAAGGAAGGCTTAGCTCTAGTTGAAGCCATTAGATCCTTTCGTCCATACCTTGCAAATTCAAAATTCACAGTCTACACTGATCATATAGCATTGAAGTGGCTGAAATCCATCAAGGATGCCACAGGTAGGTTAGGGCGATGGTCTTTGGAACTTTCTACCTACACTTTTGACATTGTTCACCGCAGCGGCAAAGCC